CCGTTAACATACTTATAGTTTACAATTTGAGTTTAAACAACGAAAAGAACGAAACGAAAGAAACTCACCTAGGAATTTGAACACCCTCACTAGCATTCGAAGCTGTCCAAGTATTAGGTTGGAGGGAAGTCGTGTCACATTTTTTTCAAGTTAAGCTTTCTTTCTATAGACAGACGTACAGGTTCGAAAATGTGCGTCAAAATATTGTTACTGCGCGGTTCTTCCCAGTTTTTGAGCACCTCATGGACGCCATCGCCACACAACGCAGGTGCGCGACGCGAAGTTTGACATCATCTCTATTTTGACGTGGGTGGGCTCAGCGTGAAGCTTTTCTTTGCCATATAGCGGGTAAGTTTGGCAGATAACCAGTTACTGGGAAGAACAATGTCTGGGCTACACAGTGCAAAGAAAGCCATCCAGCTCTATTGCATGAGCTTTGGCTCGACCTCTTTTGGACGGGGTGGGCTGCACTGTCATGCTGAAGGCGGACTGTGCGGACAAATTTTCCCCTCTGATCGACGATTCGCTTCAGATCTCGTAGCTGCTTTGCGCACGGGTTGACCGAGGAAGCAGCTTCTTCATCCAGCAGTTTCACGACCCGCAGCTCCCTCAATCTGAGTTCACAGGTAACCCAAACCTCACTTCGTCATCAAAACTGTAGGCTCCCGCTTTGAAGCATTAATGTACTGGAAGGTCGTCCGATGACTGGGAGAGTTGCCCCTATGTAGCTCCATTACTTTGGCATTGGCAGCTGTCATGCTGGTGGCAGGGTGGTAGAAGAAACCCTTAGGAAGCGCTTGGAGGGGTGCGATGGGAGGATAACATCGTCTATATTGCAAAGGAAGAAGAAGCAGGAGTCAAGCAAGTAGTACTAATAGAAGAGCTGTTCCTTGATGTATAACTGCTCACATTACCGGTCACCGCTCTTGAGATGATGGGCAAGTTTTGAGTTCAAAAAAGTATGGCAGAACTTTCCCACCAACCTAATAATAGCATTGGGGCGCACTCGGTCGCATATCGGCGATCGTCGCTGCTGTCGCGAAGTATGAACGCTGCCTTGGTCACAGGCCAAGTTTCGAACATACCAGCTGTCACAGCCTCCAGCTTCATTTATTTTAAACAAGTATAATGAAATACAAACTAAGATTGAAAAGCTTCTATAAAAACCTTGGATTACAGCGACCATGCATAGTAAAAAAGAGCATATATATAACAACAAATAACTATTCACAGTATCATACATCTAAGATCTTTTTTCGCTTGATAACGCGACCAAGCCTGGAAACTGCAGGTTGTGCTGGAGGTGAAGATGAAGGTGTAGGCGAATGGGAAGGGTATTCCTCTTTTATTTGTTTCTCTGCTCGGGGAGCACGTCGAGACCTGGGTCGCGGTGGCTGCAATCCAATATCTTTTGGAAAAGCTCAATTCAGCTTAATTCATGAGAGAAAAAAAAGTTTATGTGCCTACCCTCGACGTTTTCGCACCCGCTGGAGTTGCAGACGATGTGATTTCAGATGTAGTATCAATATGGATGGGTTTTCGCTGTTCCTAAAGTCAACTATGTCTCTATCACGTATAGTCCAGTTCGCTGTGGACGAAGGGGCGCGCCAGGCGAGCTGAATTCGGAGCGGTGCCAAACCCGTTCCTCACCAGTTGCTGAGGCGTGCAAATGACAAGACTGTATCATATCATTCGTGTCAATCATATCGTTCGTGTCACTAATTTTATACCAATTGTAGCCGCATATCCGCTTTTAAACTGGCAGAGAACTAGTTTTGCGCCATGGCACACTCATACTGCCTAACACGCCCCTTCATCCACATCGAACTAGAGTAAAAATGCATGAACGACAACTGTACCTCTGATGCATTGGCAGTTTCCATACTGACTGACTCTGACGGAGCAGCAACAGGAGCTTCTGCCATCGCAGTCACTTCCGAGGTGGATTCACTTCTTTGCGAGGATGTCTCGCCCTCCTTGCCAATATCGCGAGGAGCTGATAAATCGCGCTTATCGGAAACCATTTCTCGCTTGGGCAGCTGAGGCAGAGGCTGTTTTTCTTGAATTCCTTTGGAAGCGGTTTCCATTCGAGCATTCCACAATTCCACAATACTTTCCAACATTTGCTCAGATCGAAGAAGAAGCTCACATTCAAAGTCAGAGAATTGAATGTTCTAAAATAATTCTATTTTGGCGCCCAGAAAGCATTCCAAAAGAAGCACATAGTAAGGCTGCAGTAAAAGTCTCCCGATAAGGTGAACCAGTCTCAACGAGCGCCTGTCACGTGGGTTATTATTTGAGGGTTGCAGAGGCCTACTGAATGAGGAAGTGACAATGAGCTTCCTAAAGGTAAGATGTATACCCACCTCCATGAATCCTAGTCTTTGCCGCCTTTGGGGTAAATGGTCCGCAGCTGCAGTATTTCTCCGGTCAAGAGTGGGGTTAGGACTGCAGGGTAGTGACACAAGGGTGCAGACGTCTGCACTAAGCCGCATACCAACCACAAGCCGAGAGCAGCTCAAACCTCACAACGGCAGCGCTTCGGTCGCGCGTTGTGCATCCATCGCGTCGAACGCGCGACTGAGTCGCTGCCGTCGCAAAGTCTGAACGCTGCCTAACACATAGCCAAGCCCGCTACTTGTCCGCGCCCTCTCACTTTTGGTTTCTCTACACCACTGAGCGCTGCGGAACCATAGTATCGAATGCAACTTGTGGATAGCACAGGATGTGCTAGGATATGGAAACAGCGCTCGGATACTACTACTATACAACCCCCTTCCCGTGCACTTTCCTGTAGTCCGTGTGAGTGTACTGTTTGTTTTCAACTGTTCTATGATGTTCTCACACAGGAAATGCTCTACAGCCTTTTGAGAGCGTTAGGAGGAAAGTCCCAACATTCACCCGTTGAAAACGAATAATCTAATAATCGATTCAAACAAACGCTGGCGCTGTACTAGGCGCGGTAGGGCGATCTAACCGGTGGGGAGACTTTCACGACTCCCACATACTATAGCCTCTATGTATGACAAAAATGACAAATGAAAGTACTGCTATAAAATATATCAAAATAACGAAATTGAACAAATAATGAGCATACCCTCATTGCTCGGCCCAGAGTGTAAATTTTAGCTCGTACGCGTTCACGACATAACCTGAAAAAAAGACTTTTTTCCCATTTAGCGACTTCTTTTTGTTTTTGTGTGATTGCATAATGCACAACAGCTACGTTTTATGCAACAACCACATACGGCGAATGAGCGCGGCAGCGAAGCGGAGTAACAAACCTCAAGTTTAAAGTAGAAGGGGTTTCCTTAGAAGACAGACCCCGCGCTCGAGCAATTTGTAGTCGTTCTTCCTAGTGCAAGTAGTCTAGACCGCAGACACAGAGTCCCATCTTCACGACTCCACAATGGGTGAAGGGATGATACAGCCCAAAGGTTCTAGTTCTAACACCCGCTCAGTCGGGCCGCCCACCTAACGAACGTCCCTTTCACACCGTGCGCAGCGCCGCTCAGTCGTAAATCGTTGGAGCGGCGTGCACAAAGCGAATTGCGTGTCCACTTTTGCCGACCGCGCTCGTGCTTACTTAAATTAAAGATAGCTTCCGCGATAAAAGTGTCATGGATAGTCACTGTTCAATTATTAAATAGTAGCTAATAGCCCAAAGGAGGAAAAAAAGCAAGAAGAGCCCTCAGAAACACCATAAACAAAATCGCTCCCTGACAGTCACACCGCCCTGCGGTCTCTGTGCAACCCCTGGCTCACAAATCGCTTTATCGCATCTCCCAGTAGTGGATATCATCCAATGCAAAGAAAACGAATACGAAAAACTAGCAGAATACAAAAAAGTTTGTTTTTCTTTTTAAATTACATGCATCCATGCATGTCCATAAATAAATAAATCATTAAATACCAAAATAACAAAACTACGGAAGAAAAGCTTTGAAAAGGAAAAAACTTTCAAAAACTTGTCGTCCGAATATAGGCAGAATCTTTTTGGACAAGAGCGTGGTCAGCAAAAAGGACATGCAGTTCCGATTAATGCCCGCCGCCCCAACAAAGAACAACTGAGCGGCCTCCGTCAGAGGGCATCTAGCAAGTGGGCGGTCCAACTGGGCGGGCGTTAGAACTAGAACTTTCAGCGCTGTTCCTCGCTCGCTGTGGAGTCGCGAGAGTGGGAAGTCTCTAGCTTGGGGGCTAGACTACTTGCACAAGGAAAGGACGACCATGTACTACCCGAGCGCGGGGCTGTCTTTAATCGCGGGAGCTGTCATTAAGTACGGTAGTGATGCTAAGGCCGAGTCACTACTGTTCACGAAAAAGTGTATAGCGTTAGTTCAAAGCCGTGGCATCGCGCGCTTTCCTAATCAGTTGACGTGAGAGACACAGGCACAGAGGAGGTCACCGACATGCCACGTTAAGTGGTTTGAGTCCTAATGCGAAGGCTGCGCGCACTATCCCGTTTGCAATGGCTTTTTCCCCCGCTCCTGCGCCACGACTCGGAAGTAACGCTACGCACCCATTATGAAATGGTGTTAACACCGAAGAGATGGAAGGATAGTGAAAAGCGGGAGGATCGCTACCTGTGAGCGGATTATAGAAGATAAATGACAAAAATTATACCTTTTTCTATTTTCTTCGCGCTTTAGACTTTGGAAATCCGTCAGTATAACACCACGATTTTGCTCATACTCCTCCAACATAGCCAACTCCAACTCCGTCAACTCTCCTCCTGTGAAATCAAATTGTACAAGGGAAAATTGTTAGGTGAAATACAATGAAATGAGACAATAGCTATAGAAAAGAAACCAGTACCCTCTCCCCGGCCCTCGGATGAGAAATCGAGAGCAGTTTCTTGACTTGCACCACTGTCGTCTTCTTGCATTTCTATCAAATTCTCGTGACTGTCATCAGCGTCATTGGACTCAATAATATTTTCAGCTGCTTCATGATCTTCTCGTTCTCGTTCATGTTCATTTTCATTTCGTACTCCGCCATTTGCATTTTGCTCTGGACAAGAAGTTTCATTTATTCTCTCTGAAAATAACTGTGTTAGGCACAGAAAAGAGTAATGAGCGAAATGGAAACAAACTTCTTCTTGAAGCAGAATCGATCCGCCTCTGAACTGACTGAGCTACCAACTGTACTTCTCGTGGAGTGACCGCCATGATTCGCCGTTCGAGCGCTGTTCCAGGCATGCAGAATCGATGGCACTCTCCTGCAAAATGAAGGTAGCAGGACATCTGTCAACCAAACTCTCTCGCACCGCGAGGGTACACACAGAGAAACAGTTTCAATGCGACAGAATGGTAAAGCTGTAAGCATGTAAACTCACTCTCTACCCTCTATTGAATAAAGTCTCTGCCTCGACAAGCACTCTTGCCAAAAAAAGACTGTGTGTAGAATTTCAAAAAACTGCAGTACAGTAATTAGATTCGTTGTAGGACCCGCTACCTACGCTTCTCGCACCTTATGGGGAATTTCAAAGTGGCCTAATTTCGAATGCACTTTCTTAAGGAGTTAGGGAGGGAAGACTATCATGATTATATGAATCGAGACAGTCCTTCTGCTTTTTTTAGGGGTTGGTATTACATAGGCGAGTTAATTTATCCTACTTGCAACACAGAAGAAAAGGTCTCAAATGGGTTTCAGGCCAATTAAAGAAGAAGAGCACTGCTATTTCATCAAAACATCAGCACAAGTTGACGAAGTGGATTTAGTAAAAATGCTTCCCAATGAACAGTTCGACGATTCCTGCCTTCACTATTTCAGAAAAAGAAGGGTGAGGAATTTACCTTTCCTAATAACTCTGACGATTTTAGGATTGGTAAGATTTATGAAAGAGGCAGTAAACCAGAAAGAGCTTGATACTACAGCAATCAGGAATGTTATTGGCATCGCCAAAGGCCTGCAATTTTAAAAGCATTCACTATCCCTCCCGCATTTCATGAATTTGAGCTGTAATTGCTGACGAGATCCCCGTACAATACTTCTTTAGTTGATCCAGTGGGAAACAGGCTTGTCGCATTTATTAAGTACTGAACCCTATAGAAACGAGAAACATTTTTTCCAAGTTATCTTCATGATCTTTCGAACAAATTTCCGTCATTCTCTGTAAATCCAAAAGAAATCGCAGTCACATTAAGGGTTAGGCCGTTTTGAAATACCCTGTGATGTGCGACAGTTGTGCGCTAGCAGGTCCTACAGCGGAAATAAGTAAATACTAAGCTTTTCAAAAACCCTGCGCTACAGAGTGGCTTATCTATCGGAAGGACACGAGAGTCGTTTCCTGTCAGGAGTCGGTGACGAAGTTGTGACCGCAACTTCGAAAACTGGGGCAGTAAAGGGTAAATAGCAGCACGGATTGCAGAGATCACCAAATCCGCCCAAAACTTGTACAGAAAGGTAATCTAACATCCTGTTCACAAATATGACATTCATTCGTGACGGTTGCGCTAATGGAGGACACTACGATTGTCTTTTGGACTCAGCCTCAGCGGAAAGCAGATAAGTGCTCTCCATTAGCGCCAGCGCCAAAAATGAATGTCTAATACATAAACAGGGTTTAAATTACCCCTCTATACAAGTTTTTATCGGATTTTCTGACCTAGGCACTTCATATTAAGTCAGGAGCCAAAATTTCCGCGTCCAAACGGCAACAGCCGTCACACATGGCGACAATGTAGGACAAAACAAAAAAATAGTCGAAACCATCTACTCCGTATACCAGTCAAAATCCGTGCTCCAATAGACAGGCTAACACGAATCAAGGAAACGCCGCACCCATCGCCGCGGGCGGCGGAGCGGCAAACTACGATTCGTTTGCCCGTCTGCCAACAGATTACATGCGCATCGACCATTTTCCACAACTCGTCAATACTCAAATTTTGTATCCAATCAATTTTGCAGTCGCACGATTAGGGTAATCGCCCAGGTTATGGAATTACACGGCTAAGCCCGTAAGTTTCACGTACAGTCCTCATCATTGCGGACCGGTGGGGCGTGGCAGTGCGGCTGCTTTGGTGCGGTTTGGCAAAATCGTTCTGCACCAGTTTTTGAAGCGGGCAAGTGCATTACTGTATTATATCCTTCGTATTACTCGTTTTCTACCACTTTTTGTCGCATACGCGTTGCAACAAAAAAGGCTGAGAACGGCTTCAACAGTGTGCGCACTCCTTCTGGCTGACACGCCCCACCGGTCCGCAATGATGAGGACTGTACATCTTTGAACACAAATGACCTCAGCGGCATGATTCCGATAGCAAGCCCTTTTTTTCATTCAGCATCCGGACGAGTTGCTTTGGTTACCGATCCTTTCACTGGTGACGGCTCTGGTACCACTATGGTACATATCCATTTAACATTGTACCGCAAAATATTCGAAGAAATTTTAGGTGAACTTTTGGTGGTACTTGGTGGGCTGCCGTGCTCAGTCTGCAACTCTGACAAATCGGAGAAAGCAATGCTTCAGTAAAAAGGTCTTGATGCCTGTTGGAGGGGGAATCAGCGGACCGAGTGATGAATTCGGCGCGTTTGCAAAAAGAGTCACGTACGACATGGGGAAACACCGATTCGTTTACGCGAAACGTCACCTACCACCGCTCACCCTTTCTTCACTTGGGCGGAGTCAGCACACTCGATGCGTATTGGCTCTTTTCGCGTTGGCGATGAATTCGCTGGCGTTTGACTAGAGCGTTCAACCGATTCTCTAAGTCGTAGCTTTTCGCGTTTTCCCCGTTCGTCAGGGTCGCAGACTGTACACAGCGGCTTACCAGATCGCGCGGCTGACATATAAACTGAGACCGCAAGAATTGATATAAAAGCACCACAGAAACTTTCGAAGAAATGGAGACTCACTGTGAAGAACCATAACAATTACAGGTAATGGTAACGATTTCTTTGACATTTCGTAGATACGATTACGGATTGCAGTAGGGAGACGTAGCCTCTCATCACCGTGAAGGTGGTAGTCACAATATCGTACTTCGATAGTACTAAAATGAGGCAATCAAAATTTATGTGTTCGTGACAAAGATATTCAAAAATCCAAAGAAAAGGATTTGCAACTGAATAAAACTAACCCATCATTCAGGTATGTCTTCCGGAAGAACGCTGTACAGGCCTCTTCAGTACGAAGGTACGGCTTCGTACTTGTTTCTTTTCCGAATGGATCCATTGGTTGTGTTATGTCCTTCACAGCCTCGTAGGTTCCTGCCTGTAGAGCTTGAACGTCAGCAAACAAATTCACCATAATCAGGAAATACAGGTAAGAAAACGCACATTTATATCATCAACGATCCGCAACGCCTTGTCTTTTGCTATAGAAAATATCCGATTGCAACGGAAATACTGTACAATGCCCTCTTTGATTGTCTTGTTGCCTCGGGACATTCGAAAGTTACCACCACGGCTTTCCAATTCGCGCAAAAACTCCTGGAAAAATAGAAGCGAATCGAACCCTATGAGAACGAGCCTGAAATGAAGCATCAAGTCGAGTATACTCACCTCGAACTGCGTCTCGTTGTCGAACACCTTCCTTTTGATGTCGGTTGGAGCTCTATGAACCTGGTACATGTGCTCGCACAGCCTTTCAAGAGTCCCCAACCTCTCATGGCACTGGAATCTGACACTATTCAAAAACTAGTTATGCCTACACAGAGGAACTTAACTCGCTTTCTGCGATTATATAAAAACGACATAGCATCTTCCTCAGTCGTATAGCTCCATAAGAACGAGTACCCTATGATTGGGGCGAGCTGTGCCCACTACGTGCCGGTCTCAACGCACCACAGATATGCCCAACTCTCTCCGGATGTTTCCTTCTGCATCGACTTTTTTTGCGATCCCTAAACCTATCGGAAACCGTGTTGCTGAACTTCGTGGGAGGCACCACCCGTCCCAAGTACGTCCCGCCCATTTAGGGCGTGTCTCTTCCAATTAGTATGCCAACCGCTTGCTAACCGTATTCCACTTTGCCCCGTCTCGGAGCTGGTCTGGAAGCGACTGCGGCAAGCCAACTTTCGGCGCATCCCTGCCCTTTGTAGGCGGGGCTTAGCATGGATCAAGTGTGCTCTTTACTTCCTGTACCATGCCCTACCCAACCCAACCTTGGCAAGAACTCTCTTGACCGGAACTCTCTTTGGTAGAGCCGAATTCCCGGACAAACAAGAAAACAAGCAAAGAAAAATACGGATGTAGCGAATGATATATAGGGGGATCACAAAGCGCACAAGGTACAGCTCCCGTATGACAAAAGTGTTTGTTGGATCTCTATCAGTACTTCGCTACAAATGTCGTCCTCCCGTCAGACCTCCTCCCCCTTCCTAGAAGCTACCCTTTTTGCCAAAATTTCGCCATCGGCGGATTCGAGGGGTGGAAAAACGCACAGCTCCAACAACTAATCAACCCACAGAGATGGCGTTTTGCCGCCTAGATCCCCTGATTGGTTTCACAAAACGGTACTACCTTGATACTGCACTGCACAAAAGTATCATAGAAGGTAAGGGAAAAAAGTTTTGAAGGTACCATACAACCAAAACTTACGCCTGGAGATCCACAGGGAAATCGTTTCGGAGTGAATATATCGCAACGACCATATTTTCGAATCAGGCGTCCATGATGGTAGAATATGGACCTCTTCATTGTCATCCTACATGACGGACAAAACCGTTCATCTTGACCCTGAAATTGAACCACTTGCTAGTATTTCACTCTTGAAACATCTTCAAAATCCACTTTACGTCTTTATTATGGGGAAGAACACGTAATTCAGGACATCCAAACGCTTCATCTCGAACTTCTGGGTAAGAACCCCGGCCGGGATGAACCTTAAAATGTACACACTGAAAGAGCGAGTCTCCAAGTTTGAGGAATCACATTTTCGAGAGAATCATATCACTGAATTATGTATGACCAGCCGGCTTCGCCGGCTGACTCCGGCGCGCCTTCTTCCGAGATACAGCACGGCTTTGCCGAGCGGGCGAGATTCCGCTGCGCTTAATCTTCTTCCTTTTATTTCGATAACCAACCTACTATCCGGCTTTTCTTTTATTTGAACAGATGGTCAACATTCTTTGACCAATAGCATGTTATATTCCACATCATACCTGCTATTTTCAACACTATTACGGTGTATGGAATGGTGGTAAGGAGCGTTGATCAAGTGGACAGATGAGAGAAAAGCCGGGTATTAGTCGAGCATTTGATCATACGAGCCACGCCCCGCGAGGCCGGACCGTACCACAGAGGAGGTCTAGAGTGCCTGGAGTGCTCTGCAACCGCTCAAAGAATTTTTACCGTCCCCGCCCACCTCGCCGCACGCTCCGCTCACAACGTATGCCTCGCGCTTCTCAACTAAGGCTCTCGGTGACCTAATTCGTTCATCCCTGTGTCTGGAGTGTTCTGGAACCGTTTTAGGAATTTTGAAATTTGGCACCGCCCACCTCGCCGCACGCTCCGCTCACAACGGGTGTGCCTCACACTTGTGGACCGATGACCCCTCGGTGATCTCCAACTACTTTTTCCCGGTGTCTGGAGTGCTCCGGAAACCGTCGAATTTTTGAGAATTAGCTCCGCCCACCCCGCCGCACGCTCCGCCCGCAGCGGGTGTACCTCGCACTCGTAAACCGATGACCCTCGCTGATCTCAAACTACTTTTTCCCGGTGTCTGGAGTGTTCTGGAACCACTTAAGGAATTTTTTCTTTTTGGCTCCGCCCACCTCGCCGCACGCTCCGCCCGCAGCGGGTGTACCTCGCGCTTCTCAACCGATGACCCCTCGCTGATCTTAAACTACTTTTTCCGGTGTCTAGAGTGCTCTGGAACCGTTTTACGAATTTCTCAAACGTGGCCCCACCCAGCTCGAGGCACGCTCCGCTCACCCGGGAGTGCCTCGCACATTCCGACATGTGATTTGGGAACCATAATCCACTTTTTGCGCCATCTGTAGTGCTTTAGGACCAAACTACGATTTTTTTAACTGGTACCTCGTGTTCAAATGCACGCCCCGCCCACTGTGGGCGGGCCTCAGCACGCCGCAAACATGGTGGACTCTTGCCAGATGTTCATCTTCGTCATGGACTTTTCTGCGATCTCTGATCTATTTCGGGAACCGAGTTACCGACCTTTGTGGGAAGCACCGCCCATCTCAAGTACACCCCGCCCATTTCGGGTGTGTCTCCTCCATTTGCTCTGCCAACCCAATGCTAACCTTATCCCACTTTTTCCCGTCTCCGGGCTGCTTTGTAGCCAAGTTATAGCTTTTTTCAGTGACACGGGAAGCGCCGCCCATCTCAAGTACGCCCCGCCCATTTCGGGTGTGTCTCCTCTGTTTGGTCGGTCAGCCCTTTGTTAACTTTACTGCACTGTTCCCTCATCTCGGGACTGCTCTGGAACCGAGTTATGACTTTTTTCAGTGACATCGCTAACTTTCGACGCACGCCCCGCCCACTGTGGGGCGGGGCTTACCATGGGTCATGGGTGCTATTTAGGTTTTGTCCCATGCTCTACCCATCCCCACCATGACCCGACCCCTCCAAGTTCTTCTTCAGGTGCTATGAATTTCGTGACAAACAGACAGACGCACACACACACACTGTATATCAACCCATTACACAGCGCGGTACAATTTTATAATTATGTAAATATGAAGACAGCGGAAATGGCCCTCCTTGCATCAGTACCACATCTAGGCCAGGGTAACGTTTCGTAAAATTCAAAAAAAGGGACAGCCTCACATCAAGTACACGTCCTTTATTGTCGAGCCATAAGGTCGATTTACGTTGATCACGTGATGTGTCCTCTTCATAGGTTTCGATGTCCACATCTCCACCCTGAACAGCAGCTGAAAGAAACCTGAAGGTAGAACAGAACCCTTTCAATCTCACCTCATCCACGTCGTTATCCACGGAACGTTCTCCTTCGTGGATATCATTTTGTATCAGTTCAGGCATATCAGTAGTGTCAACACGATCTTGATTCTCCGAATTGACCTTTTCTTCGAATGGGATCATAGCCAGTACGCGTGTAGAACGCGACGCTGGGCTAGTGACAAGAAATCGGGGAGCATCGGCAAAGCGTTCTTAAAATCAAACCAATATAGTGAGTCAACCAGATTACAAGCTTTCTTCCTCTCATTTATATTTCGAATGGCCTTGGACCGCGTTCATACTAAGCGACACTGATAAATAGGAGAGAGCACGCCAACGGAAGTATAGCATGGATCTGGCGATCGGGGAGGACAGGAGAAACGGAAAAGGGCGCGGTTCGGGAAATGCACATTAAAGGAGTAGATGGGATCGATTCTCAAAATCGCTGGCGATAGGAGACCATCGATTCCTTTCTACTGCTGTGGCGAGATATCTCTCAATGCCTACTACTTCCACCATCCTCGCAACGAGCGAAAGCGATACTAAACTCTCCTTTAGGCAACATTCGGACTTCGCGACGGGCGGTTCGGTCGCGCGATTCGACGCTTTCGACTGCGTCGATCGCGCGACCAAAGCGCTGCCGTCGCGAAGCGTAAACGCTGCTTGAGTGCGCACTCTCTATTCTGCCATTCTCCAGTGTCGCAAAATAAAGACGCGGCCTTACAGAGCCCGAAAGTCTGTTAACTTGACCCCACTTTAGTTTTAATGGGAAGTCGAAATGGCTAACCATTGTAAGTTGACGATCTTGAACTTTTCTGCGCTTGCCTGGCGTTAATCGATTCAGTATCAGTATCGGGGTAATATCCCTGGAAAGAGGCTCACTAAGTTAAAACGAACTACAAAACCTGCTCAAAGCAAGCGTCTCAACTGAGACAATTGAAGAATCAACAGCGAGTAGGATTTCTAAAAGGTAAATGTGCAAGACAAAGAGCGTAAAAAAACTCAAACGATATCAAGCCTCCTCACCGGGGAGTTCCCTGGATACTTTCGTTTGGATGGGGAACGGTATCCAGGAACACTTGTTCCCATAATGTCCATAAGCTTTTTGAAGGCCTCATGTTTGTGTTCCGGTAATGACTCAAAAACATCGCACACCAACAGTTTCCTAAAGCAACAGAGCGTTCTAAAGCGTTCTGCTTATTCAAACAACCCAGAGAACAAAAATGAATGGTCCCTTCCTTTAGTTCTGGTGTATTATAACTTTCAAGCAACAAATGACATACTTGCACTGATCTTCTCGCCAATCACTCTTAGGAAACAGATTCCGACTACCGTGGATCCCTCTCCTTGCAACAGCAACCGGATACTTTGGAGTGAACCTCGTGTCTCGTCCTGCAGATGCTACAGGTTCTGCAATATTTCAGCCAGTGAAAGCAAAGAGAAAGGACATAGATTTCGTAAGCTCGCGAAAAAGCCGACGAGCGAGGATTCTCATCGACCCGAGGAAATGGCCCTACGACGATCCAGGCAAATCAACCACACGTAATTCGTTGCGTAAGCTGTTGCCTTGTAGTGCGAAAATAATAGAGGTTGCAGTAGTCACGAGTCGCGGCCTCTTTACCTCCTCGATCGAGTGACGAAAGAGGTACATTCTCTGAGAGTGAGAACCCGAATGCCAAATGCATGGAGGCATTTCATGGGTCATTGATCCTGGGAACTGTCATTAATCTGACAAACCTCTATCCCCCTCCCCCACTTGTTGGTAATGAACGAAACACTTACGGTACTCATCAACCAAAATTTGTCGCGAATCAACATAACTTTGGTCGGCGAATTGTTGGTGTTGAGGTGTAAACCGTCGGAGAATACGTGGTTGCCTTCGCCTCTGGAGGATACCAACGATTACTGGGAAAACTGCAATCCATGTAGCACACCATGTGGCAACATATTCACCTCTAT